ATATCGAGAGTACAGGAACTGATAGTAAATTATTTTTATCCCAATATCATAAAATATAGATCATAAAGTATGAAAATAAGAGAGGACAGACACCGATACTTACACACAAAAAATGCATTATAAATACTTGAGCCGGCCACGTCCATCCAAATAAACATTACCCAAGTAGCTCTACGTGAAATTCATATTATAGTTGGCATCATCAAAGCCACATTGCCAAGATCACATGATTGTGATAGTGTTCATTTATTTGGATTGAAAGTTGCACAATAAATATAAATTTGAAAAGTGAAAGCACACCACTTCCAATAGTCAAAGTTTACTAAACAAAAATGTTATTTTAAATTTGAAAAGTGAAAGCACACCACTTCCAATAAACAAAGTTTACTAAACAAAAGTGTTATTTTTAATGCGGAGTATTAAACATAGGATTCAAGAAAATAGACATGGATATGGTATCGTTTTAATTTCGATTTTAGATTGGTCAATACTTAAAATCCTTTTGGATGGAATTGATGCTGGTACAGATGGAAAATAGTTTTAAACCGCTCCAATTCCCTGATGGTTCCTAGTGGCTAGTACTTTGGTTTTTTATGATTATTCTTTATTTTAAAACATAAAAATATAAATATAAAATTTATGAATTACAAGCTTAAGAAAAATTACTAGAATGAATGGGAAAAAGGGTAAATTTACAAACTTGTGAAAAGGTAAAAAAACCTATGAGAGTTAAATTTATAAAATTATAAAAGCCTGTGAAAATTAAAAACTTTCAAAAAAAACTTGTGAATGAAAATAAAACTTACAAAAAGACTCCCTCCGTCATAATTTGTTTGCAACACCTCGAACAACGGGTAAAATATCAACTTTTTTAAAATTATTTTAATTACAAATTAGTAGAGAAATAAAAAGTAAAAATTACATCATTCAAAAGTATATCAAAAACTTTACAAAACAAGATGCGATAAGAATATTTTATTTTATCAAATAGTCAACCAAAACGAGTAAACAAATAAATGCCAAAATAATAACTGTGACATTTTTTTGGGGACAGAGGGAGTATTAATTTTCATAAATTTACAAACTTATGAAAATTTACAAACATATAAATTAGAGTAAATTCTATAATTGGTCCTTTATAACAGGGAAGTTTCCCTAATTAGTCGTCTATTATCAAATATTATCCAAGTGGTCCTTCTTTTATGGGTATCTTTCCACAAATAGTCCTTTTTTGATCTTCTATCATGTTGGTGTTAATTTGAGAGCTAAAAGTGTAATTTCACAATGATAATATATCTTTTTTGTCATACACAATTTCAAAGGCTATTTCATTTGCGTCGTTTCTGAATTACAGTCGCTTTCTACTACAACCATAGTCTACAAATGTGGTCTTTCGTCAGAACCCTAGCCCACAATCATAGTCATTATTTTTATGTTATCCGCTTAACCAATATCAGAACACGTCACTAAACATAATGTTGATATCAAATTATACTTTTAGCCTTTAAATTAATACCAACACGACATAAGATAAAAAAAGGACCATTTATGGAAAGGTACCCCTTAAAAAAGGACTACGAGGGTAATATTTGATAATAGAGGACTAAATATGGAAACCCCCCATATTATAAAGGACCAATTATGGAATATACTATTATAAATTAAGAGTACAAACTTAAGAAAAATAAAAATAATAGGTAATCCTTCCTCCTTCCATTTTTTTCTTCTCTTTTTGAAAACGTGTAAATTCCAATTTTTTTAAAAAAATTACTTTATTTACAAATTGGTATATCAATAAAAAGTATGAGTTATATCGACCAAAACTATATCAAAAAATCTACAAAACAAAATGTAACAATAATATTTTGTCTAACCAAATGATTAATAAAAACATACAAACAAACATGAGTCATCGAAAATCCAAAACAATATCTGCAAAAAAATATAGACGTAAGGAGTGGATAGGGTATATCGACACCTTTAGATCAACCCCAATATACTCGTCACATATTGTATTAAAGCTATATGTAGTGAGCCTTGACACCAGGCGTGAATAGAGGCATCGCGCCCCGTCACGCTGTGACCACCGCGCCACCTCCGACGTGATGAAGGGAGCCTAATGGTGGTCACGGGCATTGCCTCTCTCTTTACTTTTATCTTTTTTTTTTAATTTTTATAATATCAAACCAATCAAAATTTAACACACTTTCACATCAACCAATCAAAATAATTCACGGCTTCACATTTCCCCTTCACATACATATTTTTAACTCCATCAGAGCATCTCCCAAGGGGCTTGTTATTTGTGGCTTGCTATTGCTTTTTTTAGCAAATGAATAGTGGTATAACAACTAACAAGCCACTTTTTGCTCTCTTTTCCAACCATGACTTGTTATATTAAACTCTTTTCATCCCAAAATGTTTTACTCATTTTGATCAACGTGCAAAATCTCATGACTTTTAAAATTATTTTATTTACAAATTTGTAAAAATACAAAATAAAAAATTGTATTTAAAATTTACATAAAAAAACTCCACAAAACAAGAGTTGATAAGAATATTTTATTTTATCAACTGATCAATGAAAACACGCAAACAAATAAGAGTTATCAAGATTCCATAATAGTAAATGGGTAATTTTTTTGGGACGGAGGGTGTAACTAACAAATATATTTTGTTCCAATAACCATTATAATACATAAAATATAAAAGTTCTTGAATCGTATTTATCCATGTAAGTGTAAAATAAAAGTACTCCCTCTGTCCGGAAAAAAACTTTTCATTCTACGTTTTTCTCCGTCCGGAAAAGAACTTCCCATTATATGTTTTCATAGCCAATCTTTCTAAAATAACAGTGTGTAATTAAAAAATATAAAACAAAATGTTTCTAGTTAAAATAAAATAAATCAAACAACTCTTCTTATGGTAAAAAAATCACATTCACATCGGAAAAAAAATGTTATACAGAGTATTTGTGCAGTATATATCATTGCGAAAGAAATTCACATTAATTTTTGTTCAGCTATATTCTAGCATGCTTGTTGTAAATAGCAAGTTGTTTTCATTTTTTAACAAGCTAGTCAAATTTTGAATAACCCTTTGGAGCATGAAATTTTGTATATGCTTGTCAAATTATAACATATAGCAAGTCATTTTGCTATGGTTGGAGATGCTTTCAAAGCCCTATCAAATAGCCATGGATGTTTTTGAAGAGGTCAAATCATTATTACACAGCAAAAGGTAAAAGATATGTCAAAGTCTACTCATGAGATGTAGTAGAGGGAAGACTTGTTAGGCAATCATTTCTCCAGGCCAGTAACCTTTTTCATCAAAAAGGCCGGACAGGAAAGATGGAGACCTTCTTTGCCCGAGCACTTGAGCTGCACAACACAAGATTGAATAATGCATCAATAGGGATGTGTAACTTCTCCCATTTTGACACTTCCACACAAGATTGAAAGAATAATACAATATAGGACTTCCATAATTTCATAAATCACACACCCGACCGAGTTTGGGGTGCGTTGCACAGTTCACAAAGGTAAGAAATGTCAAAAAGATAGACCTGAATTTGATTCCTGACAACTGTGTGGCAATTAAGTTAAAACATAGAGTCCCTACAAGTATCAAGTGCAGGCTCCACTCCCGAAGTCCCTGCCACAAATCTACAATCAAAGTCCAATTTACCTCCTCTGAGTGACCGTCCGGCCGGGTCTGAGAGGGCCCTCGGGGATGGAGCTCGTCCTTTATAAATAACACACCACACCCCACACTACCACCACCACCACCAAATACAAAAAGCATCTCACTGATGTCTTTTAGATGAAAGAATTCAGAATAAGTGCTTCAGATCAGTTATAGCACATAACCCAATTTGCTCATTTGTGTAGGACATCAGCACAGGGAATAATTCAAGTTTAGGAAAGGTCTGGTACTTTGGTGACCAGTACAAGTACTGGCTTATTCTGCAGGAATACCTAGCTTGTAACTTAGTTAAATTGCTTGCATGGATGCTAAGAAACATATTCCCTTTCAATTTTTTTTTTTAAAAAAAACAACCATTTCAACCGAAAACTAACACAAAACATTTTTCATTTGCAATAACTTAAATTCATAGTTTGTTCCTTTTTTCTCATTACTAACCCACACATGCCCAGAGTCAAACTCAAAAGACACCATTTTTGAGATAGTCTTGAGCCCCAAATTGCAATGTATGTTCTAGGAACATAAAGTACTATACATACACACACACACACACACACATATAACTTCAAAATTCAAACAAGTGGGATAGAAGCCGGAACGGAATTCAAGGACTGTACAAAATCCCATATGCAGTGGGCAATAAACAACAACAAAGTGAAATGAGTATATTACAGATATAGCTGGAAGATGACAAAGTTAGTTTAAAATAAATGAGTACAAGTTGGAAAGGTGAAATGAGAAAGACAAGATAATCTTCCCATTATATTGCATTCTCCATTGTGTTACAAAAGTGTGTTGTTTGAATCTTATGGCAGTTTTAGTTTGTCTCAATCGAACGAGTTGAGAGCCGATATGCAGCTGACGACTACGATTGAGACGAACACATGATGCCTATTTCAATGATAAGAAGCAAATGCAAGTCCATTCCATTGACGATAAAGAGCATTTACAATTAGGTTGAACAATCGAAGAAGTATAAGGACAAACCTTGATCATCAGTGAGATAAGTGTCACACGAAAACAACATAAAAAAGTAAAACACGCGCCATAAATGTTGGCTTTGTATTTTTTGAATGTGTTCAATGTAAAATGGCTTAGCAAGAAGAAGCTCAAACAATCAAATCAAATTCTTTCCACTTAATATTGATGTATATCACTGTAAAGATGGTAACTTTCTAACATATCATGAGTAAGAATATGCAGGCATGGCAATTTCATAGCAGTTATTGTGTATTATATCATCTGAGATTCTGAGTTCATCCATTGATATTTCTTGAAAGATTTCAGTTGTTGTAAGGAACAAAAGACAGGTTCTGTATATGTATTTATTCATCATGTAAAGATATACTAATACAGTGTATATATGAAGGTATATCGTCAAGATACAGAGTGATAATTATTATTATATTGATGGCGATGAAGATGAAGATGATTCATTTCTTAAGCTTACGAATTTTCTTATTCCCCCAAACTTCTAATCTACCTGCTGGGCATCCACAGGGAGCTCGGAAGATGAGGACAGTCCGTCCATTGGGAGGCGCCATTCTCTTGAGCTCCGCCTCCAGCTCCTTCCGATCTTGCCCTAGCTCCAATGGTTTCGCGCCGTAATTGTAGAACGCGTTCCCGTTGGCGGCGACTTCCGGCGGCAAGTACTTGAGACACTCCTCCGACTCGAGCTGGATATCGAACTCCACCGCCTTCCTGAACCCCTGGCAATTCGGATTCCCGCACCTCCTGGACCGCAGATCGACGATCTCCCAGGCAACGATCGCGGCAATCACTCCCAGCAGCGTCGCGACCAGTCCGGCGAAATACGCAACCGGGGCGTCGCTGATGACCTCGACGACGACGTCGAGCAGAACCGGGCAGAGATGGGCGATGACGGACGCGAAATAGGGGACGATCAGAAACCCTAGAGATCCGAGGACGAGGACGAGTATGACCGCATCGAGCGCCGCCATGGGGGAGTGATCGCCGCAGAAGGGGCGAGCTAGACGATTGAGGCAGCAGTGGTTCTTATTGCCCCGGGAAACCCGGTGGGAATTGGGACTGAATCGGTTCCTGTTCTTGCGCGGCTCGAATGATCGGCAGAACTCGATCAAACTCCGGCAATCGACCATCGGCAGCATCATCCGGCACACCCCTCCCTCTTCACAGCATCGACTGAAACTCTTCGTCTACAGATGGGAATCCGGCGAGATTTGGGTTCTGATGAAGACGATGATCTGGTTCAGTTATTACTGGATTTATATAGAGGAATGGGATTTGAAGAACGGAAAGATGGAGAAGATAAGAAGTCAATCGCCACTGCTCGGAGAGGAATAAATAGAAAAAAAACTTCGCCGTACTTTTTTACCGTGAACAGTCTCTCACCTGAAAGAGTCTGTATTTCAGAATTCAGAGACGGTTAGTTTTCACTGTTACGGTCATTATCGGAGTAGAACCATTTTAGGATAGTGGGGCCCCTCTCTTGCAATCACCTACCTTCATAGCTTGTTCTCTTTGGCCCCGTTTGGCATTATCGTGAGTGATTAGTGTTAGCGTTTTAAAAAAAAAACTATCTGCTGGTAGCATTTAGTGTTATCTTTTTCAAAATTAATCTACACCATTAAAATTTTATCTAGAACATTAATGCTAATCGAAAACATTGTTCCCAAACAATGTCTTTATCTCATATGATTAATTCTGATTTGATTAGAATAAACTATGATTTGATCATATTGTAACTAGTTTTAAATCTTTTTTTATCTGGTCCCAATAAAAATAAGTACTCCGTATTAAAAATAAATTGAAGTGAACGAGGTTTTAATGTACCCGTTTTTTAGTCAATAACAATGGTTGTATTCCACGTCTTGTAATGGCGAGAAGAATGACTACGATACTACGATACATGTACTATAGACAAGTCTCATTCTTTGGTTATTAATCTAAGATTAAAAATCAATTTACTATATCTAGACTATTGCATGTGAAGGTCAACCATCAATAGATGAGGTACACTTTTTTTAGGGATAGAGTTATCTTTTAAAAAATGAGTTTCATCCATTATGGTTCTAAGGAGCAATGTAACATACTCTTTTAAGATTTCAAGAATCAACGATGAATTGTTTGAAAATAGTTAAATTTGAAATGTAAGGCATTGTAAGCTTAATCTAACTAATAAGAAGTACTTCGTGTAAGTAATTTGTTAGACGCCTCGCACACCTCTAGAGGGTGGGTGAATAGAGGTGTTGCCCAAAAGACCAGTTTTTTGCGCGGAAACGTTCTTCACGAATATTCAATAAAAACAATGCACCACAAACAAAATAAAGTGATGGATAAGAGCAATGCACACACGATATATACTGGTTCGGCCTAAATGCCTACATCCAGTCCCCGAAGCAATCGTGCCCAGGCCTTCACTAACCCGTCAAACTTAACGGAGTTTGACAATCCGAATACAACTCGAGAACTTGATTTCACAAGCCTCTTATCTTACCACCGAAGTTTTGATTTCACAAAACTCAGGATTTCTTCCACCTAACGTTTGATTTCACAAACCGTTAGGATTTCTACCACTTGATGTAATCCCAACACCAAGAATACAAATCCCTTACAATAAAGTAAGAAAACAAACCGCAACCGAGTAATTCTCCCAACACGGAGTAGATTATTGCAAATACAATGAAGTCCTTTAGAATATGACAATATCTCTCAAAGACTCAAGCAATGAGGAAAAACTCAAACAAGAAATGATTTAGCAATCAAAACAATTGCCTTGCTTGGATATAAGGAGGGGATTGAGTAGAATCTCTTGGGATATTCAAAGAATATGTTCTTCAAAGTATTCTAAGTGTTCTTATGAAGATAATCACGAAAGTAGATAGTTTATAGAAGTTAGGGAGTGAATATGGATGAAAAGCATTCAAAAAACTAGCCGTTTGGTAGTTGAAACTGTCGAACTATTCGACTAAATCAAGACTTAGTCGACTAGTTTTGGTGAAACTGCAATCTGACTTATTCAACTAGTTCTGGATTTATTCAACTAAGTCAGAATAGAATTTCAGAGATTTATTCAAATAGTTTGCTGAAAAAAATGTGTTTTAAAGGTAGGATGATAATGGAATGAACCTTAGAGATGCCATACTCTTTAACACAAAATCTAAGACCTAAAACACTACCCAACTAAGGAAACAACCTCTTCGGTCCCGTTCCTTCCACCAATGCTCAAGTCCCTTCTTCACGGACGGATATGAACTTGTTGTAGCTTTGATTCTTAGCATTGATGTACAATATGATGATGATGTTTTGTCACGCGTTTGTCATTATCAAAACCTAAAAGACAATGGGCAAAGAACATTGCAAAAATTGTTGGGCGGTGCTCCTTGGACCACACGGCAAGAAGGAGAGCAAATCCCATTCTAAGTGGGATTGCTCTTGATTTGTTTCCTTGTTCATATTTAGTGATTTGTTTCCTTGTAGGAATAGAATTCCTTTTGTGTTTTGGTCTTTATCCTCTCCTATAAATAAAGGAGAAACTCCTTGTACTTAGTAGAACAATTCAATATACAGAATATTTTCCCTCTTATTATTTTCTTCATGGTATCGGAGCCAGGTTCCTAGGGAAAAACCCTAATCTAGACATACGACGGTCCATCACCGTCCTCCGCCGGTTCAAGCCTGTCTTCCGCCGGATCACCGACATCGACCGCCGGACTATCCTCCTCGACCGTCGACATGGCAGAAGTAGAAGAAAATCTCGTCGGCAAGCTTTTCGATGAGGAAGAAAAAATCCCTACGAAGGGAAGTTCTTACGAACTCAAGAACGCAGACACACCTGGATTAATTATCACCCAAGTCAAACTAAACGGTGATAATTATGAAGAATGGGCTCGTGCAATGAGAATTGCATTCCGTGCAAAACGGAAAATTGGATTCATCGACGGATCCATCCCTTGTCCAGAAGAAGGAGATGAAAACTATGAAGAATGGTGGATTGTGAATGCCATGTTGGTCTCATGGATTTACAACACAATTGATGGCAGCCTGAGAAACTCCATCACACAGGTAGAAGAAGCAGCAGAACTATGGAAGGACATCCAAGATCGTTTCTCTGTTGCAAACGGTCCTCGAATTCATCAACTAAAGAAGGAACTTGCAAATTGCAAGCAAAACGGTCAGTCCATCGTTACGTACTTTGGAAAATTAAAAACCATATGGGACGAACTCGGCGATCATGAAAAAATCCCCGCTTGCAAGTGCCATGGATGCAAGTGTGGGATAAGCAAAGCGCTTGCCATCCAACGCGACAAAGAAAAGGTTCACCAA